AGAGGCAGCAGCACCTCTCTCTCTGCACAGCCAAGGGCCTGCCTTCCCAGAGCCCAGGGAACCGCAGCACAGCACCAGCCCCCTCCGAACACTCTGCCTGGGGCTGGGCATCCAGCACCCCCCGAGCGCCAAAGGTTGTCACAGACCCTGCCTGCCCTCACCCCACACGGTCCCTCTGCAGGATCAGACTCCCATCTTCACCTCTTCCCAACAAAGGATCCACCACAGACACATGACAGTGTGAACAGGCCACCCTATCGACCTGAAATGCTGTTACTTTCTCATACCTCCACCTGCCTAAAGCATTCATCTGGAAGACAGAAGGATGGTTTTGATGCCAAGCCCAAATGCAGACACCTGCTAACACTGGACAACACACCACTGCTCACCCAAGCATTCACTGGAACAATTTGCAACCAACATCTAAACCTGAACGTTGGCCACAGATTTGTGCTCAACACATGAGCAAAACTATATGGAGCATATCTTTTCAAAAGCTACCGACTGCAATGTAAAACTGTTTCCTTTATTTACTGCTAGATTACACAACTAATTCTTGTCTGGCTGTCGACGCAAGTCAGTTAAGCAAAAGCTCAGATGTGGACAATTACCTCACTCCACGAGAGTAACAACTCCATCAAGCAAAACAAAGCTGCTGCTCATTTTTGTTGCCTGATGCTACCACCCTGTATTTAAGCTCCTCACTTGTTGCACCAGGGTACTGTGTTAAACAGGATGTAGGATCATGTAAAAGAAAAGTATGGATTCATAATGTTATCCTAAAATACCACAAGCCCGCAAGGGTCTACAAGCGTAATCAAAACAAGAGAGGTACGTATACTCAGTGATCTGATTCTTATTTGCCCTTTTGGCTACTTTCAGATGCTTTGCAGTCCAGAAAAGAAAAATAAAAAATATTTATTTTGTTTGATTAGAAACCTAAGACCCAGTATTCTGTTCTAGTCACCAACTCATTGTGTGCACTGGACAACACTTAGGCAACACTTAGGCAACAGTTTCAGGTTTCCTTGTTACTTAGGCAGTTTCCCCTCCCGTCAGGATGGGTCCTCATACACCAGGAAAAAAAACCCTCTTTAAATAAAAATTGCTCTATAAAATCTGTTAGAACTGGCACAGAAAACAAGCAGTGAAGAGGCAACTTTTTTAATGCATTCCCTGCAAAAAACTAGACTCCAAACTAATCAGTTCCCCTGTAATTTGTGCTGCATTTTAGTTCACACTCAGGATCACAAGAGCACAGGAAAGTGCTAGTTGCAATCATTTTACACATCCGTGGAACACACGTGTGCAAACCAAGAGTAAACTGCACTACTTAGCTCCCTGCCCTGCATCTTGTACATACAGCTTTGCTCATATTTACCACATGCTACCAAACTCCTTCAGCCTATGTGCTATATCCCCTTATGGAATGCTCAAGTATCATAGGCAAGAGGAGTGTTTTTATGCACAGTAATTTGAAAATGTAACTGGGTTAAATATTTCTGGAGTCTATTGTAAAATAAATACCACAAGGTCTAAATTTCTTGATTATAACTGCACCTGGCTAGAAAACAAGAATTTCATTTTGCTGCCTTTTTTTTTTTTTTTTTTTTTTGAGATTTCAACCTTTGGTTGTGTTCCAAAAGCAGAGCAAACCTCTCAAAAATTCAAGAGGAGACAGATGGGATGTGGGAGACCAAGGTTCAAGCCCCTGGTCTGCATCAGGCAAAATGCCCTAACCACCAAGCTGTTCTGATCATTCTCTCTCCCTTTTCTAGTTTTAAGCAGAAATTTCATTTGGAAGCTTGAGAAACTTTCTCTAAGGAAGAGCTGCATGGAGGCAGATAGTAGCTGTGAAAGCTTTCTGTTAAAATCAGCATTTTCCATTCAAGGACTGGCTTACTGGAAAGGTCCCAACCAACTCTAATTGCACATCCTTTTTAAATATGCCTGGGTTTTCAGCAGCATGTTAAAAACCCACAAGCAAGCAGGCCCTTATTGTTATTTAATATTTCCATGTTACTCAGATTACAGCTATTAAATAAGACATCTCAAGACACCTTGGTCAGGCCAGTGACTTTACACTCAGTGACAATATTTTTTTCTTTTTTTTTTTTTACTCTACATTCCACTCAACTTTTAGTGGTCCCTAACCTCACACAAACAAAAGCTCTCCCTGACAGACATCCTCAGCCCCAGAGGGCTCCCTGCCCAGGTAAAACCCTAGAAAGCAGGTGTCTTGGCAAGCCTTGCATAAGGCAACCTTTGGAGATGAGGGCCCCCAGTAACCAGCAGCTCCGCAGCAGCCCTGTATCTTTACAGTCTTTCAGGCAGGCAAGAGGACCTCAGGTGGCACATTATGAAATCCTACAAGTTCACCGTGGTAACTGGAGCAGCTCAGTTTGGCACCCTCCCGGGCCAGGGATGGGGAAACAGCTCCACCCAGGAGACCGCTGGCCAGCTGGGAGCCAGATGAGCACCGTGTCTGTCCAGCCAGCACACACAGAGCACAGCTACCATGCACCACAGCTCAATGGTCGACTGCAAGCACCCAGAAGGCACTGCTTTCATCCTGTGTCTGTGCTGTTGCAACACCTGTTCCCTGTGCAAAATGGGAATCCTTTTCCAAGGAGAAAAATGAAATGACGATGGTCCAGCCTTCCCTATCTATGTGCTGGTTCTGACGCCTATGAAATCCTTGCCCCACACTACAATGCATCCTGACAGCCTCAACCTGCGTGGCAATACAGTGGCAGCAAGGCACACCACTCCTTGAAATGAAATATGCTTTGGGGCAGAAAAATAGCTGCAAAATAGCCTTCAATAGCAGCTATACTATTTCAGAAAACAGCAGTCTTGGAAAGACAAGACAAATGTGGAAGCATCACACATCTGTGTAAACTTGTCAAATCCCCTTTTCCCTGTGAAGCATTCCCATATTATTCATTCTGAGAGGGACAGTAACTCAGTATAAAGACTTTTTCCTCTTCTTCTCAAAGCTTACTTAGATTTTTTATTTACCAGGCTGCTCTTTCAAAAAATTCAGTAAGGAAAAAATAATCTGACAGCACAAATCCCTCAGGAAGAGGGCATTACATATACCAATATTGCTTTGCACAGGGGCTGTGAACTGGAGCCCACAATGCTTTATCCAGACTTTCATACTGTCACGTCCCTGCAAAACCCATTACATTCAGCAAGGTGAAGTATCACTGAAGGTTTATGGGGATGTTATTTTTAAGTGATATTTTTCAAGTTGAATAGAGTTTTCATATCTTTTTCTGGTTTATGTGCCAATAAACAAATGTAACAGTAAGGTAACTCATTCCAGCTCCAAACATGCAACCAATACTCTGAGGGCTGAATCCTCGTGCAGGCATGGGCACGTGCGTTGCAATATGCACTTCAGTCTATATTCACAGCTTCTACCAGCCAGGCCTTACTCTCTAGAACTGAATCCACACAATTTCTTCAGGAAAAACAGGACTTTTTGGTTTTTAAACAGCACAGATGGACTGCCAACCCCTGCCCTGGCTATCTTACAGCCATTTAATGTACAGAGCTCTCATTGACTTCATTATGACTTTTGCATTGTTTAGCTTGAATGAGACAATTCCCTTTAAGGCAAAACACCAGTGTTGAAACTCCTCTCACAGAGCATATCTATCCTCTACACCCTCCTCCCAGTGAATCACCTCCAAAAAATGCTTACATTCCACCAACATGAGATGTGTGACTCTTCTGAACAAGGAACATCCTGAAGCCAACCTAATTTCTCTTAATTATTATGTTAACTTTCTATACCATGGACAGAGACCTACATTTTTTTTTTCCCAGCTGTCCTCTGTTTGAAGCACATTACTGTCACAGAAGTCCCAGCTGTTCAGTCCCAGTCCTACCAGTCAAGAAAACACAATGGGATTCCCTTCCAGAATGCTACAGTCTTATCTAAAGGAGAGCTGCAGAACAGCCATATAGCGTTTCCCATCCCCCCATGTAGCTCAACATTTTTAAACAGTTCTCACAACATATCCATATTGCAGAAATACTTTGTTTTTTCATTTTCTCAGAGCAGTTTCTAGGTATTACAACTGAGGCAAGGCTTGCTTCTAGGAATATCTGAGAAGGCAGCAGGTTTCATTCAAGCACAACTTTATAAGGAAATACTTAACATGTTCTTAAATGTCAGGAATACTTCATTTCCTCCACATAGTACTTTGAAACTTCATAAGAAGTTTAATGAGAAATGGAGGAGGCCTCTGGTGCAACTCTAAATGCATTATACAAAGTACAACAGTTTAATAAAATAAAAGCACACCAAAACCTGCCAAGGAATAAAAATCAGGAATCTTTCAGAAAAGAAGCAAAAGCAGCACCCAGAGAGGACAAAGGTGACGGGGCAAAGCTAATCTGCAAGGAGGTCAGCCTGAGCAAAAAGAAGTATATTTAGCCCCAAAAACAAAGGTTGACAGAAAAGCTGGAGTGCTTCCTTTCACAGATCCTGCCAAAACCCTTTTTAAAACATGAGTTCTATACCACTTCCTACCTCAACTCCACCAGCTCTCTCCCATGAGCTTCTTCAGTCTCACTGACTAAGTACACAAAAGGACTCTTTTGCTGTAAAAAGTGAGGATCACTATAATCTTTATTGCTATAATATATAACTCAAGTCACATTACAGCTGTCCCTCCTCTCCTTTTAATAGCATTTAGGAGCAGTTGAGACACTGAGATGTTTTAAAATGAACTCTGAGACAAGCTGTTTAAACTTATTTCCCTAAACATCATAGCTTGAAATATACTTCCCCCACAAAGGAGGATATATCATATCTCCTCACTGCCCCAGGACTTGTCTTTCTGCTTGCCTACCTTAGAGACAGAATGGCCTTCTCTGCAAACCCTGGTAATCACAGGACAGACAGTAGTGAAAACAGGAGGTCTCCTGAGATCCCCACAGCTGACAGGAATTTCTACCTGCTGTAAGAACATGTTGTTTTAATTAAACTGCTATCGAGAAAGGTTTTACCCATGCATTCTCCCCAATGTGAACTGCTCCACTCAGAGTCCAAGCTGGTACAGAGACTTGAACCTCAGCTTCCCACATCCCAAGGCAAATGTCCCAGTGACTTAATTAACAAGACAGCATCTCTCCCTCCATGGCTCAGGTACTATCAGATCATATGAAGCAGAACATTTCCAGCAGGACATGGAGGTGCAGAAGCTAATGCTGCACCTCAGAAGTCAGGGAATTCAGTTGGGATGCGGGAAGTTACGTTCAACTCTCTACTTACCTGATTTAAAGCCTGATCTTGAACTGATATCTCTCAGAACGTTAGTGCTGTTATCACAAGGGTATACAGATTGTCTTTTCCCCTCCTCTCTGTTCCAAAAGTAATGACCTGGGTTATATGAGGTTGGTGGATCAGAAAAATGAGTAAGAAACACAGAAAAAAAGAAAGTATGGATGGGGGATGTGGTAAGAGACAAAGGGAGACAGGCAGGAGAAATGAAATGAGAGAAACAGAAGAATAGACAATTAGAAAGGCAGAGAGATGTGAAAGGGGAAATGCAGGTACAATTTGATCCTGAAGTTTTTACCTTTATTTCCATCTAATCAGTCATCACAAGGAAATTATTTTGCCTGAATTAAAGAGCAAACAACATGCCTTCCTTTGTTTTTTAATCCTTAGGTATTTAGAAATATAAGCCCCCTTCCTAATAATTTAAGTCTCCTAAGACTACCCCCTCATCCCCCCACCTCCACATATTTTGCACTTGCATCTCTCTCATCTATTCAGGCCCCCAACTGTTTTGGCCAATATGCCAATATCTGGAACACAGAGCTCAGGCCATACTTACCTCTGATTTTATGCATTTACACAGCAGGAACAAGAATAACTCCAGCTTACTTTATCTACACCTCTAGAGATGACAAGAGAAAGTTACTATACAACCAGTTAGCTCCAACAGTAACCCTAAGCTCTCTAAAACTGCACAGCAACCCATGTTTCCCTATACAGAATTTTAAGATGTACCTCAAAGCCTGGGAGAAGTGACATAATTGGCAACTTCTTTGGCTTACCTCAAAAGGTAGCATGATAGGTGGTGGTGGTGGCTTTTTCAGTTCTTCACATTTTCTCTTCTTACATATCCGGTGACTAGTTTTGCGCTTCCTGCAACAGCTGCATTCTTCACAGTTTGTTTTCCGCAGACAGGGCTCACACACTCCACAGCGCCTTCGCTTCTTCTTCTCCAGCACAGGGAGCAGAGATGAATATGGAGCAGGGAAATTGCCAGCTGGATTTTTCAGAGAGGATGGCCCTGAGGCCTCAACTGCTTCAGTGCTGTCACTCACATTGTCCTGAACCAAATTCAAGCTCACTCCGACTCTCCCCAGCTGTGATGAATAATCATGCTGCAGTCTTGAGTCAGCTGGCAAATCTGCATTTATGGCTTTTTCTGAGGCAAGAGCAGAGATTTCCATGCTTGAAGGCAACTCCAAAACAAAACCTTCAGAGAATTGTCCAGAGCTTTCACCAGAGATTTTATCAACTGTGCTTTTTTCCACCACGTCTGGAGATAAAGTGGGGGCATAACCTGAATTCAAAATTAATGTCTCTGCATCAATGCATTTAACAAGCTGTTCAATGTCCTCCACTTCAATATTGTTTGAAGAGGTATTGGACACTGGTTCACATACTGTAAATACGTTTTTTGAGTCAGATTCTGAATTATCTCTTCTACAGCTCAAATCCAAATTTGAGTCAAGTTCTTTGTGAATGGGTACAAAATCCACAACCAGTTTCATGTGGGATTCTGCAAGCAAGCTCACACCTTCGAAATGTAAAAGCGAATTTGATTCAGTGGCAACTATAGAGCTGGAATTTGAAAAAATGTCTTTATTCTCAGACTCTAAATCCCAGTCTGCCTTCAAGCAGGACTCTGCAAGTGAGCTTGCAGCTTCTAGCAAATGTTCTTGTGAGTTAAACTCAGAGGTAACAATAGATTCAGAATTTGAGTCTTGTTCTTCACTAGGTAGCACCATGTCTGACTTTGCTTCAATGGGGGATTTGACAAGTGGGACTGACTCTTCTAATGGTACTGCTGAGCTGAGATCTGAGGTATGGACAGAACTGGAGTCAGGTTCTTCACTAACAGGCACCAGATCGAAGGGTGTCTCTGCACACACCTTCGAGTTTAATTCAGAGGTGATTATGGAGTCAGAAGAAGATGGAAGCACAAGTGCAGCATTTTGAAAAAATGCTTCAGGCAAATTACTCATACCAAAATTGCTGGGTATCTGCTCACAGGGCAGGTCTTCATGCTTGTATTTCACCTCTAACACTTCTGTATCATCATCAGTTATCTGACTGCTTGGAACGGAGTCATTTGTATCAGGTATTTCTACCTCTTGACTGGCACATGTGATAGCAGGCTCTTCACCTACACTACATGGAGTATCTTCTACAGGCAGAGGAACTAACTGATTTTGTGCTAAATCTTGCTTCACAACTCTTTCATCTGCTTCAACATTATTTTCTTCTACTACTGCCAGGGCTCCTTGTTCATGTTTTTCCTTTGTTTCTAGCCTTTTTTGTGCTGCAGCCTTCCTGGGTTTTGCAATTGCTGGAGTTTGGGACCATCTACGGGAGAATGATCGGTTACGGAGAGACATTGTAAAGCCATGGATGTTGAAAGAATCCTGGCTATGAAAGAGGATGTTGTCAGCTTTCTCCAAACTCACCCAAGATGCTCCAGACAAGGTTCTGGTTACACTGCTCCTGAGAAGTCTACCTGAAGAGCTCATGATTGGTTTCTTTTCTTGCTGTTTTTTCTTAACATCTTTTTCTTGTGGTGGCTTTTTGCTTTTTCCAGAACTACCAGCTTTTGTGGAAGTCTTGGTGGTTTTCTTTCTCACTTGGCTAGATTTCTTTTTGCCCTGGTTAGTTTTCCTTTTGCCCAACTCTTCCTTTTTGACTGATCTGGAAGACCTTGCGTGGTGAGCCATGTCTGCGGAGTAGTAGAAATGTTAAGAGGGGAGATGGGAAAAAAATCATGAGCTCTTGAGAGAACTTTTCAACAGAAAACTGCATACTCCCATTGTTGCTCCCTGTGGTGATACAGCATTAGCTCTGAAACAGAAAAAGATAGAAAATAATAATTATTATTCTAATTAGGGGTGTCCATATATTAGATTCAGATATACTAATACTGGATGCTATGTCCAGTTAACACAAAAGCTTGGAAAATCTTAGAATATTACAAAACAGAAAGCTTGCCTATGAGCCTGTAACACACATGAAGAAGCAATCAGATCTCGAATGACCCGACAACATCACATATTTATTGTTTCATGTCAGTCCTAAGAAGTTTGAATTTTCACAACCTTGTTCATAGTTAATTAACCACTCCTTCACCTGGGTTATATCCACAGCTTTATGTTCAACACCACACCCATCAATGTAAGGACCTTGGGGAAAAAAGGAAGCTGAGTTTGTGTGTGTACCTGCACACCATCACCAGGGCATCCCTCATTCTTTCCATCATCATTTCCATCATTAACCCATCAGCTGCCCACCATGGTACAGTTGCAAATAAAATGGAAGTCACAGAGTAAGAGTCACCAGGGTTGGAAGATGCCTCTGAAGATCAGTCTGACTCCCCTGCTAGAGCAGGATCACCTACAGCAGATCACACAGGAATGTGTTCAGACAGGTTTTCAATGTCTCCAGAGAAGGAGACTCCACAATCTCTCTGGGCAGCCTGTTCTAGAGCTCTGTTACTCTCACAGTAAATAAGCTTTTCCTTATGTTTAGCTTGAACGTCCTATGCTCCAGCTTGTGCCCACTGTCACTTGTCCTGTCATTGGACATTGCAGAAAAGAGAGTGGACCCATCCTCTTGACATCTACCCTTTAGATTCATATAAGCATTTATGAAATCACCCCCTCAGTCTCCTCCAGGCAAAACAAACCCATGCCTTTCCTCATAGGACAAATGCTTCATTCCTCTAACCATCTTTGTGGCCCTGTGCTAGACTCTTTTCAGTAGTTCTTTATCCTTTATGAACTGGGGAGCCCAGAATTGGAAGCAGTTATCCAGATGCAGCCTCACCAGGGCACAAGTGGGGAGGAGAGGATAGCCTCCCTTGACCTACTGGTCATATTCTTTTTAAGGCACACCACAATGGTTATTGGTTTGTGGTCAGCCTGTTGTCCACCAGGACCCACTGCTGTTACGGAAGGTTGGGAAGCATGATCAACATTATCAATTAGAAGTTCACTTATAACTATTTTGCAATATTTAAAAAATAATAATTATAATTACACCATAATATGTCTTTACCTGCATTTGGAAATTCTAACATGGTTGCTTCAGGACTGAAGAAGCAAGACCATGCTGTGGTTGCTTTTTTCTTTTCTTTTTAATACAGAACAACATAGCTATCTGGCAAGGATACGGAAAAGTATCAAAGCCAACATGTTGCTTCTTTTCAGGGCCAAAATTAGAGGCTATGAACATCAAATAGTTGAAGTCTTCCCTTTTCTTGGTAAACAAAGAATGCTGGTATTTGTAGGAAATTGACTGGCATTTAAATGTTTTGCTAAACAAGATGGCAAAGGCTGCTAAGTATTTGTCTTGCTCAAAGATGACAATACAGGGGCACAACAGCAGCAAGTTTTATCCATTTTGTTTTAATTTTGTCACTGGAATGAATTTAAGTTTTTCAGAAAAAATCTCGGTAATGGACCCCTCAAAGAAAATCTAATTTATTTTTTTTCAATTAATACCTGACATCAGTTATGCTTGCCTGGGACTCTGAGCACCTGACCCTGTCAAGGTAACTGTAAGCTCTTGTGAGAAATTCCTGACAGCAACAGATCTTTGCTTCACTTAAAGAAAGCCCAAAGTCAGCCACAATAACCTTAACCACTAGATAAAAACTGTCTCATTTTTTAAATGAGGTGCCAAATAAAACTGCATTATATTGTTATTTGTTTACTCCTCCACATCTAGAGCGAAAATATTAGGTAGCTACAAGCTCAGTGTTCAAGTTTTATTTTCTATAACACTAGAAGATATTTTACCTTCCCTTTTCCATTTAAAGCACTGGTGATTACTTCATTGATGCCTGCAGCAGTTGCAAATTGTTTCATGTCACTTCCTAAGGACAACAAATGGCTGTAACACATTTGTCATTTTAGACCAAGAAACTAGTTATATTTCCAAACTACATATGTGAACTTAGTAGGATTTTTAAATATAAACATCAAGGGACAATATGGTAACCTGGCAGTTTTTCATCATACTGAAAATAAACTTATTTCAATGCTCTCTTCCAAAAGCCACATCAGGTGGGACCTACCATACCCTCCCTGAGAGCAGAGGACAGGCGTCTCTATGAAGTAAATGGGGTAATAGGTACAGGAGGGTTTGCAGGGAACTGCCCTAGACAGTAACAACACATCTCGGGAGCTGTTTGTTACTTGACCTGACTTATCTCTTCTAATTCATGTGCAAAGCTGAAAGCTGGTTTTAAGGCCAGTTGCTCAAGTTTTGCTCATTCACAGTAATAAATCTGGAGCAATCCCACTGACGCTATAATCCTCAGCAAATGCTGCTAAAAAGCTAATCAGGGGCTAAATCTTTTAGCCCTATCTTGGTCAAAATTCCAAACAATTATAAGGAGATTTTTGCCTATAAAGTAATTGGGGAATTTAACCCCATATGGCTGGAATGCCTCCAGAAATAAAAAAAACCAAACATATACACAACAACCCCCCCTGCCTTTCTTATGTAGTTTATCTTTACACAAAAAAGATAAAATACACCAAGTTTTCCTTTTAGGGGTAATTTCCATCAAGATTCTCTTCCATAACTTCAGTCTTGTTAGAAGATACGGGAAGGTGGGAAAAGAAGGGATTAAAAGATGTGCTGTTATAAAATGGTGGCAGCTTTTTTGTGGCATCATGAAAGAGAGCAAGAGTGAGCCCCTAAACAAACAGCTGCATGGGGAAAAAAATGACACAGCTAGGACTCATTGAGCTTGGTTTCACTACAGTCAGATGCACTAATTAAACACACTGTTTCAGTGCTCAGATATCTTTTTTAAAGTCACTTGTGGTTGACCCAGTGGGGATGCAAGACCTGAAAGCTTTCATAAAAGCCACTTCATACACAAGTTCCAAGCAACAGGGGCCACAATTTGACTTAGCTGTCACACAGGCTTAGGTCTACAACTCTGAATTTAAAAAAACTTATCTTCCAGCAGCAAATACTCTAGAGGAAGATGCAAGAGACACCAGAGAAGACAGGTATTAGAAAATCTGACCCTCATGTTAGGTGCAAAAGCTTTTTTCCCAGTCTTTCCAGGATTATGTCATATTACCTGCATATTCTTCCAGGCTGCACCAATGTCATCCTGCTTTTCAGTCTGGTGTATACTGATTGCTCAGTACAACAATGTATATGAAAAGAAGCGAAATGGGTTGGGAGTGGAGAATGAGCTTTAATTTTCCCTTTCCCTCCTTCTTTAATCCTTCAGTACCCATTTGGTTTTGGTTAAGAAAAATGAAACTTTTCATTTGCCTTGTCAGTACCACAAGGTATTTCACACACAGTCTTGTGAAGAGGCCTCTCTCCCTTCCCAGGGCAGGCAGTGGGATTTCCCCAAGCTCCCTCTGCAGAGGCACCCCTAAGTTCTCCCCTCACTCACCACCTCACAGCCCCCCAGACCTCCACTCATGCAGCCCTGTTCCAAGTGGTGTTCCTGTAATCTCACACACTATTCAAGAACACTGTTTTCCATTTATAAGTTTTCTGCTTTACTTTCCAGGATTATGCCACTCAAGGCATAGTTTAACCACATATATTAAACCTTGACTTAAGTCATCACTTTACAGGAGCATAACTGCAAATCTAGGACAGGCACTGAAGGATGTCACTTTGGTTTCTCACAAAAGCACATAATCAAAGCATAATCCTTTTCCCAGTAACATCAGTTACACCAGATGATGTTGAGCAGATCAAGCACCAAGGCTTTCATCCAACATTTTTGTCCTCCCTGGACCCAGAAGGCCACCTCTGTGCTTAGAGTACAAATCTGGCTAAGGCAGGACTGCCACCACATCCTACTACTTCCACACTGCATGGACAGCTGAAGACAGCGGCAAAATACACATGCACAGATAACTCAGCAAGAGATTTGATGTTCAATATTTCACAGTGTCATGACTTGGAGCCTGCACAGCAAGTGAAACATAAAAAAATACCACAAGAAGAGCCCTCCTGGTTTGGAAGAAAGTTCTATTAGAACAATAGAAAAAGAAAAAAAACTGTGGCAAGGAACCACACATGCTTTAACCACAAAACCAGATTAAGCCTCAGACAAACAACTGGCTCCAAAGATCCATTGTGAAGACTCACACTGCATGTGCAAGTATCTTCCACCCCAGGCAGGAGCAGAAACTTGCTTTAACCTCCGTTCAGTGCAGCAAACACTGACCTTAACAGGGGGGGGGGGGGGTGCTGAAAAGTAAAAAGATAGGAAGTAATACAAGACTTCACCAAACTCTTTTCCACCAGAACACCTGGTTACTTCTGAACACAGAAAAAAAACACAAACCAAACGGAACACCTCAGCAAATCCACTCTAATGCTGCATTTGTGCTGTTTTAAACACTGAATTTCTTTTTTATATTTGACTCTATTCTTCAGGAAGGTTGCCTTTTGGTAAAAAACAAAACAAAACAACAAAACAAAACACAAAAATGCCAACAAAACCCAAAAAGGCCACTAACTGAATCACCTTATCTCAAACTCAATTAAAATAAGGGGGAGGTAGAGGGAAGAACCTTCAGGCAAAGATTAAGCCTGGAAAATACCAGCCTAAGAGGTGTTTTGAAACGTAACTGAAAACAGAAAGGAGGATGGAAATGCTTAGGCCAGCTTGAACAATCACGAGTAGCACACCAGCTGCAATAAAATGCCATCAGTCAGGATCCCACAT